TTTGATTTTAGAACATAATGTTCAAATGGCTTATCCCTTTTGTAGTAGGTTTTATTTCTCTTTTTACTAATATAAGGTGAGGTTTCAAATGTTACACATCCTACGCGACTACTGTAAGGCTCGCTCGTTTTTTTGTCGGTAAGTACTCTTGACAAAACATTGTAATCGGTACACTTTAAATTAATATCAATTAAATAGTAATTTATCCTTAAAAAATACAATTGGTAACGTAACCTAACCTATCGATTATTTTTTTATCTTTTTGAGCATCATTCAAATATTTCTCATTATTATCTTGATTAAGTTTTTACTGATGTGGATATCAATATTTGGAAACAGTTTGACAGCAAATCGGCCATCCATGTTATACCTAATCATCCTATAACAAATCTGATGGAGTAATACTGGTGATTGATTAAAAAACATAAACTTATTAAAGTAGCTAATGTCTTTAATGTTTTCTTTAAAAATTTGTTGGTCACTTTTTTTAAAAGTGCCAAACAAAAGCAAAGCATATCACCCGCCTAATGGTTAGAGCACGAGAGGTCACAATCTATATATATAAAACTGAAAGGTGACTGACTGACATAGTGATCTATCAACGCACAGCCCAAACCACTGGACGGATCGGGCTGAAATTTGGCATGCAGGTAAATGTCATGACGTAGGCACCCGCTAAGAAAGGATTTTGATCAATTCTACCCCCAAGCAAGGGGATAAAATAGGGAATGAAAGTTTGTATGAAACTTTGTCAATTTTAAACCGATCGGGATGAGACTTCGCATGCAGGTATAAGAAGAATCATAGATGAATGTCATTGTGTATAATACAAGCCTGAGAACAATAACTGTAGTCTACACTTCAGCTCTACACCGAAGCGACGCAAGAGCGGGTCGCTAGTTAGCCTATATAAGGTGAAATTGAATGTTTTAATGAAACTTCGTGGGATTGTTGGGTAACATACATAAATAGAGTATCTGTAATTTTTTTCGGATTTTTGATGAATTTTTTTTTATCGATAATGGAAAGGCAAAACCGCTTATATCAGCCTTTTCATGTCTGCATCGTCATAATAATTCTGCTGCGAAAAAAAGGCTGCGAAACGTCAATAAATAAATAAAGTTCGTGAATTAACCCGTTAAAACTAGTTTTATTTAATGAGTAATGTGCGTGAAAACCTAAGAAACAAATGAGTTAAAATTCAAATTCAGCGGACCCAAAACCCTTATTATGACGTATCACATTCAGAATATCTATTCTATCCGTTACCCTAGTATCCTATAACGTAATTAAGCCTACAGTCATTACGTTAATGCTAACAGTGCTTACTTTGGTAACACTAATTGGTTTAAGTTAGAAATATTTATTTATTCAATGTCTCCATAAATTATGGTAATCAACTCTCACACGCGTTGAATGGACAGGTCGCTTGGCGTACAGCTTCCCACGCGATAGAGATCTTGAATCGGCCGGGCTGCGCCCTTTGAAGTAGGCTCCTTATTAATATTCATCGCAGTAGAATTGATGACAAAATTATTGAATGTAAGTCTCTAGTAACATTCTACAATAATCTACATGTAGGCCAACGCGATGAAATGACATAACAGTGCACAGAGTCATTTTATATGATTCTACACGATGCATGGGGCAATGGGTCAGGGAGGGTAAACAACAGCGACTGATACACTTAGATAGGTTATGGTGGCCGTTTATCATCAGGTGGACCATATGCATTTTTATAATTCTTTTGACATAAAAAAAATACTTATCACGAGCATTACGTCATCATCAGAATGTTAATATCCCCACTGCTGGGGCTCAGGCCTTCCCTATGGATGAAATAGGGAGATTGGGCCATGACCCACCACGTGGGCCCAGTGCAGATTAGCGGGTGCTAACGACTGTAGATGCAGCCGGGACCAACGGCTTAACGTGCCTTCCGAAGCACAGAGAAACTCGAAAAAGAAGATTTTGGTCACTCTTCAAATAACCGACCACTGCGAAAGTTGCTTAACCTCAACGATCGCAGCCGAACGCGCTAATCACCCGCGCCATACGGTTCCCAACTTAGGGGTTTTGCCCCCAGATTTTGGGGCTAGGAGGGTTAAAACGGACTTTTTTAGGGGCTACAATTTTTTTGGAGGTTTTTGTAGGGGCTTTTAAGAAAACTTGCAATTAAATCGAAAAACAAAGCGTGTGTTTTCTTTCAGTTTTGTGCGTAGAACGGAACGCACCGCGATATGAAACGACTGAACTCACTGTGTGGCAGATTGTTTCCTAAGGCTGTATGGACTAAAGTTCTTTGTCTTCCACCAATCAAAATAGCTAAATAAGATTTAACAGCCTGTCAGCTCAGTTTCTTTTGATTTTCCATTCGGAAAATGTATTTATTCAATAAAATAATTTACTGTAACTAAATATGTAACGTTTTAATTTATGAGCAACCAAAGAATTTAGGTAATAAGATAAGTAGGTAGATATATTTTTTTATAATTAGGGAATTTTAGGGGAATTTAAAAAATACTTAGGGTAAAATTTTGATAAGGGTTGGTAACACTGGCGCCATCGAGCTCCTGCTCGAGCATAACATGAATGGAAGGAAACACTATGTAACCCTTTTTAGAGTTCCGTATCCAAAGGGTAAAAGCGAAACCCTATTGCTGTCACTTCGTCTGTCCTTATGTTGCGGGTCTCTAGATCGTAAACGGAATGAGTTGACTGAAGCTTTGATATTTTATGTTAAATGTTTGCAAAGCCGAGTGTTAACTTAAAAATTCAATTACATAATTATTGATCCCATACATGAAAAGGACACGAAAAACGTTTGTTCTCATTTACCCTAGCATGTTACATATCATTAGCTCGAGCTCATTATGTAGAATATAAATACAATTTTTAATATTTTTTTATTATCAAAAAATAATAAAAAAAAATGGATGCGTGTAACTTATGTACGCGCGTGAGAAGTTATACTTCTTTAGCATCATTAAAAATATTTTTTAATTGCATGCCAATAATTAATTATTACAATAAAATAATAAAAGGACTGGAAAAGGATAGTTAAACACAGTCAATTAAGTTCAGTTTTAATTTGAAAAATTAAATAAATATTCAAAATATTCAATTAAAATCACTACTGAATTTAATTTATTAGTCCATATGTAATTAGCACTTGTAAGTAACTAAAACACGTTGTGTCTATATAGAAACTAGAAACATGTGGATAAATATTATAAATATGAAAAACAGTGATGCGCGCGCATCTCGAAATTTCACTCACATGATTTTTTCATAACGCGCCCGCGGCCAACTTCATGCTGTTACTTTTGGGTTACAGTGATGCGCGCGCATCTAAAAATTTCACTCTCATCATTTTTTCATAACGCGCCTAAAGAAGTATAACTTCAAAAATACTCGTAAAAATTGTAATTTTTAGAGCATTTTTGTTACGGGGTCATTCTCAAAATCTTATTTATCCAAAATAGTTTTTTTTGGCCCCGGTTCAACAGAAATCCATCTTACACACAAAGTATCTTCCAACCAACTGCACTCATTAGAACAACTGCTAATTACAGCCAGTCTGCGATACCTTGCCGTGGGAATGCCGTCAACAATCACATCACTCTTGAGAGAATGGTAAAGATTATTTAAAAAATGACTGAAAGACTTAATATCCAATGCCAGAACGTAATCGTTAGATAATAAACTATTATATTTTTAGTACAAGGTCTCCAGATAATGTGGTATTTCGTAGTAAAAATATTCGTTTTTAAGATAAGGACTTCGGTATTTATGTGGATAGAAATCAAAAAGTCGATGGGAGTTATAAATTGTTGAAGCATGTTAACAATTTTTTCAATAAATTCTTCACGTTACGACGATACTTCATGCTTGACGATATTAATTATGTAATTAGTAGATTGAAACATGGAATACTCGTAAATTATCACTTCTAAGCGGTAAATACGTAAAGGGGCCAATATACGGAACGACTGATCTGTACGATCCGTCGTTTCAGACAGATCGAAACGATGGATCGACAGTGTATGTCAAGATCGTTAACGATTTACTTAATCGCAGACGATATCGGAGATCGCAACAAAAACCCATGCAATCATGAATATCGTAAACGATCGATCGTCAGTGTCCCATATACGGTACGATTGATCTGTACGATCCGTCGTTTCAGACCAATCGAAACGATGGATCGACAGTGTATGTCAAGATCGTTAACGATTTACTTAATCGCAGACGATATCGGAGATCGCAACAAAAACCCATGCAATCATGAATATCGTAAACGATCGATCGTCAGTGTCCCATATACGGTACGATTGATCTGTACGATCCGTCGTTTCAGACCGATCGAAACGATGGATGGACAGTGTATGTCAAGATCGTTAACGATTTACTTAATCGCAGACGATATCGGAGATCGCAACAAAAACCCATGCAATCATGAATATCGTAAACGATCGATCGTCAGTGTCCCATATACGGTACGATTGATCTGTAAGATCCGTCGTTTCAGACCGATCGAAACGATGGATCGACAGTGTATGTCAAGATCGTTAACGATTTACTTAATCGAAGACGATATCGTAAATGGCAACCAAATCCCATGCAATCATGAATATCGTAAACGATCGATCGACAGTGTTTCGTGTATGTAGTGGCATTTCTGAACGATCGAACGTTGACGATTTCCTTCAGATCGATCGCAACGACAAATCGTTCCGTATATGGGGCCCTTTATAAACGATCGATCGACAGTGTTTCATGTATGTAGTGGTATTTCTGAACGATCGATCGTTGACGAGTTCCTTCAGATCGATCGCAACGACAAATCGTTCCGTATATGGGGCCCTTAATTCAATCTTGTCTCCGACTTCCATATCACGAACCACATATAATTTCTTACTTCTTAATTTCATTTTCTATTTTGAAGCCGGTTTTATTTTTTGTTAAAGAATATTTTTTAATTACAGTATGATACTCACTGGCATGGTCGTCGTGGAGCAGGTTGTGGTAGCGGTGTTGTTTCTCGTCCAGTCTCATCATCACGCCGGGTCACACCACCATCGCGAACCCACTGCAACAACCAAACAAATATTTCATTAAAATCTAACAATATGGAAAAATACTTTGTAATTGCCTTCGAAGGCAAACGTTCGGACGTTCGGACTCCGTATTATCAAATTCTTAAGAGCCCTTTTACAAAATTGCACCGCTGCCGTAGTATTCGGCGTGTAGGTAGATTTGCATTAGTATATATTGCATTCTACGGGTGATGTTTAGAGTCTTAAAAAAATATTACTAATGTACGAATAGGGATGATGACTATTTTTTTTTCTTCGTTTATCAGGTAGATTATCAAAAAGTATTGGACACGTATTTTTTCTTTTTTCACATAATATAAACATTGCAGAGATATATTGATTTGAAAAGTCGCATGACGTCACGTTTTCGTTCAATTTTCACTCAAAAGTGACGTCACGAGCCCCTACTCCTAAACTTTGAGGCGCTATAACTTTGTCATTTTTTGGTTGATTGCCGAAAAAAAAAATACCTGTCCATTATTTTCTGATCATCTAACTGACGGACTAAATAGAATTGCGTTTACTGTACCCCGTTATCATCCCTATTATAAAAATGTATACATATAGTATTTCAATGATGGTAGATTAGTTTTATGAAAATTTTTGATAGTGATTCTATTTAATTCAATATCAAAATATGAGGTAAACCTGCATTATTTTTTGGGAAAACTCACGGAGGTTAGATTTTTTTAGATAATTAATGAGATAGAAAAACCAAATTCTAATACATTATGTTACAACAAAAACATATTTCTGATGTCGTAGTAAATATTCAAATATTCTACATTAACTTACAAAAAGAAGAATAAATCTACTGTTTACTTCTATAGGAAATAGTCAAAATCTTTTCTATGAGGGTAAACGAGGCGCTCAAAAATTACGATTTATGCAAAAAATGTGAAAGGGCTCTTAACGCCAGGCAAGTTTCATTATTGAAATGAAATGAAATTTGACTAATAGAAATCACTTTTGAATCGTCCGTCGTATTTTTACCTACCACTCATTCAGGACATATTTTAGCTGATAAGAAGGATGGGCGCAATAAACTCATCAGCATTAATCGAAGTAGCAACATTCACATAAAATCATGTCACTACCAATATAATTAATGAGATATATTAGTTAGTTATGTGTTACATAGTTACTTGTGATTTTTTTTCCACAAAGAAAAACACTTAATATATATATTTCTGCCAAACCGCAATGCAGTTTGTCGGCAGCGGTACCCGTGACACCCATGGACGTATAAAAAAGGACCATGAACCTTGGACCTTTTTTTATACGTCCTTGGTGACATCTATATTTATTGTTTTCCCTATTTACAATTGTTTATCTTTTCTATCAGTACCAAACTGAATAAATACCCAAACCTTACATTTTTCCGATATAAAAAGTATCCTTTTCTCAATCCAGTTGATAAACTATATATGCTTGCTAAATCTAATTAAAATCCATTCAGTAGCTTTTGCGCGATTGAGTAACAATTAATAGATAAATTAATTAATTAATTGTGGTCTATATAGAGATGATGGCAGGAGACCTGACGGTGCTACGCTTGTGCCGTGGAGACTGGGCCGCACTCTGGTGTGGGATGTAACTTCCGTTGACACGCTGGCTCCTTCTTATATACATGAAACTTGTACTAAAGTTGGGGCCGCAGCCGACCGTGCTCAGTTTCTCAAGCGTCGTAAATACTCTTCTATAACTGAAGATTATGAGTTTGCGGCGTTAGCTTTCGAGACGTTAGGGTCGTCGTCGGCTGACATGAAGCGGTTTATGAAGGATATGTCGAATCGACTGATTCTCTCTTCGGGTGATCAGAGGGCTGGCAGCTATTTCGCGCAGAGAATCAGTTCAGCCGTTCAGCGAGGTAATGCTGCCAGTGTTCTGGGTACCATGCCCCAAATTGGAATTTTGGATGACATATTCCTCTTGTGAATATGTATATTAATATTTTAGAGTTAATTATTAATGATAAGTTTTTAGTTTGATATTGTTGTGACGTAATTATAATTATTTGTTTAATAAAAAATTATTAACTTACAATTAATATAATATATAATTTAATGAGAAGACTTAGCTTACTTCAATGAGCGAAGTGTTCTTTATTCCCAGATACTTCGAGTATTTAAGTAATCTTGTACTCGATAATAACCTTTGGTCATCAGAGTATTTTTCACATGAGTTTTTAGTTTATGAAGAGGTAGGTTAACACTTCTGAAGGTTACTTATTATAAAATAGCTATTCATTTCGTTACATGTTAGAGCGAGACATCACATACGTATTACGCAAAGCAGCATCCTCCTTCGACCGCTGTTTTCATCTGGCATTTTTATTTTTTTGAGCGTGACCTTTACAGCGTCATCGGGTTTGGGGACGGCGAGATCCTAAGGAGACCTCAAGCCGAGAATTGGCGAGTGCCTCTGGAGGTTTTCCAGACGGATGGCATCCCCCCACGGGGGGAGTCTACTCTCCGTCTGGAGCCTGAACCACTAGAACCTGAGAGGAAATCTGGCATTAAGCGTTCATAATACGGTGTTAATTGGTCACCGTCGCCCATGGGTATCAGCAATGCCACAGCGTCAGCGCCAGTGACACAGAAACGCCGCTGCCTTGCTAGGCTTGTTGAAAATATATCGATGTATCGATATATCGATACATCGATACAAAATAACCAATATCGAAATTCGTATCAAAAAGGATATTTTTTTAATTATTAGCGGCATATCACGATCTAACTAAATTCGTATCTGGAAAAATCGTAACTGGATCTTAGATTAATGATATTCAACATATCTATGATCTGTGCTGTATTTAGTATTGTCTATTATTTGTAAATATGTTTCGCTGGTGAATTGGTTGTGCTGATTTCCATTATATTCTGTGAAGTGTGTGACTGTCTAGTCTTGTTTACGAAAGAGACCCTGCAATCATTTACCTGAGAGGCCCTGCAATCATTTTCATCATTCGAAAATAGGGTCTATTTTTAGGGAGATAATTTTCGTTCCATTATTATTCCGCGTGTCATGTTTCGTGAGATACTGTACGATATTTTTGGGAAAATTTGTCCGATATATCGATGTTTTTTTCGCGATATATCGAAGCCGATATTGATATTTTTTTAAAGATCGATGTATCGATATATCGATATTTTTTTTCAACTTTCGACATCCCAGCCTTGCGTGGAACACTCTTTTTAGCCACGTTTTAAGAGCACCATACTATAGCACTGAGAAAGCGCCTTGGAGGGGATATCCTTCCATAACTTTATGGTCCGTGTAGTAAAACACCGCTGTAAACTAACAGTTGTGGAAATCAGGCCTAGTATGAACTTTAATTAGAGGAGCTCGATGGCGCAAGTGGTTAGCGCGTTCGGCTGCGGTCGTTGAAGTTAAGCAACTTTCGCAGTGGTCGGATTAGTGACCAAATTTTAGTATCTCGAACTCCTCCGTGCTTCGGAAGGCACGTTAAGCCGTTGGTCCCGGCTGCATCTGCAGTCGTTAGCATCCACCAACCCGCACTGGTATGTAAGTGTGGTTTGGTAAGTGGCAGTCAAGTTAAACCCCCTTTCCCAATGTTTCAGTAAATGTGTGGGGATTTACTGGAACCCTCCGTGGACTTCTTGAGGGAACGTCGAAAGACACTTTCCGCTATTTTGTTTCACTTGCCAACTGACACTGCCAACATGCACAAGGCATGTTAGTGGTTAATAATCCACCATTATTAGACACTAACATCCGCCACAACACAATTTTTAACAAGAAAAACAAAACTTATTTGTTTCTTAGGTTTTCACGCACATCACTCATTAAATAAAACTAGTTTTTTCGGGTTAATGCACGAAACTTTATTTATTTATTGACGTTTCGCAGCCTTTTCAGGTCTTCTGACGATGCAGACCTGAAAAGGCTGCGAAACGTCAATAAATAAATAAAGTTTCGTGCATTAACCCGAAAAAACTAGTTTTAATTAAAAACAAAACTGCTAAAGTGATGCTACCCGATCCCGCCAAAAAGTCAAATGGATGTTTAATTTAATATTTATGGTCAAAATGCTTTTTTGATTATGTGTGGTGGGTGACCGCTCACTCTGGTTGATTTGGGTTTAACACACGGAACCGTAGATAAAATGAGTTTAACCAGAATTCATTGCGAGACCGGCGGGCGCGGCGGTGTCGTAATTGTCATCGAATCGACGGCCGTCTGACTCGGGCCGTCTGTCGCAGCATAATTGGGCAATTCGATGACTGTCCAATTGTTGGCGGATTAGTGCGACAATTATGATGAATCGATCAATTGTGACCGTTTACATTAAGAGACAATGTTCTTCGAGTTATTCACCAACTTGACACAAGAGTTTGGACACAAAATTAGTATCACTTTACTATTTCGTCATCAGGAAACGCCAAGACTTTAATTAAATCACTTTCATGTTTCGCCAAGTATCAAGGTATCAATCGCCTAACGGAATTGCCAGACCCGTCATTCCCAGTGGGCAATTTGGGCAAGTGCCCAGGGCCCCGCGCTCGATAGGGGGCACCCTCAGATCAAATATAAAGTCCCTAGCTCCTGTTAAATCACCAAACGGAAGTCATAGGGGCATAGGGCCATTATCCTAATATGCCCAGGGCCTCCAATAGGTCACGGGGTCCCCGTAATAGAGCGGGAGACCCCTGCCGTGGAGCCCCGGCTAGGCCGGGCAGCTGCTAGGTGCAGGGACGCGGAGAAATCCCACCATGGGGATCCCGCGGCACCGCATCAGGCAGTGGTGAAGGTATTCGCAGGACTTTTTTAGCGGATATTATGCCGTAAAGCGCCCGTAAGAGTTGCGGGGTCCCAGGTGGGCATTCACTGGGGGGTTCGTAAGACTTGCAGGAGCCAGGTGTGAGGTCCGTTCGGCGGCGTGCCTCTTAAAGGCGCCGTCGTCTGTAAAAAGATTTTTTACCTGCGTAATAAAAAAAAAGGGCCTCCAATAGGTCAAAGACGGCACTGG